AGTTCTTTAATAAATTTTGTTCTGTTTCAGCAATAATCTGAATTTTTAAAAATAAATCTCTTCAAAACGTGCTTGTTTTTAAATGTATTTTCACACAAAATAAACATTTATAAATATTTTTTTCCACAAAACACCCAAGTTGTACAGAAATTTAAATCCTAAAATAAATTGCATTTTAGTGCATTTCAGGAGATATTATGACCCAAAAACCAGGGGAATGTTTTTCAATTCTTCCAGTTCTTTTATCTACTTCCATTTTTCTAGACTAAATTCGCAGCTGATCTTATGGTGTAGTATTTTTCAAAGGCAAATGGTCAGGACCTCATTGCAGATTAGAAAATGTTCAGTATTGCCTGTTATCTATGCTGCCCCTATCTCTAATTCAGCAATATTTATTGATATTCTTTCTTATTTTTAAAAAAGTGTCAAAATGTACATTTGGGCATTTTAATGCTGTTCCTTTGTTTTTAAAACTTAATAAATCAAAAGGATAAGGATTATTATAAAATTTATTAGAGTAATTATTTTAATATTTTATATTGGTTCTTGAAAAAGAATAAAAATGTTTCTTAAAAACCTGTCAGAAAGTTATAATTATATTCCTCATAACAGACAGAAAGAATTGAATTTCCTGCTATGAAAGGCAATAAATAATTAAGCATAATATTTACCTATTCTCGTAAATGTAATCTTCCCAAACTCATAGTTCTAATGATTCTTCTGCACCACTACTGCGACCAAAATAGATAAATAAATACATAGTTTATTTATTAGGTGTTATTTCAGGTGTTATTTCAGGGAAGTTTCTATCCTGTTAATCCCTCAGAATTGGTAGTTGCATACCTGTCATCCTGAGAAGATCTACTGCAATTATAACATTTCCAGAAGTTTCTGAACTAAGTCCTCCAAATTCTGAAGCTTTGGTGAACAACAAGCATCCACTAAATTTTATCCAAAATTAAAAATACAGCTTAGCTTATCATTACCTTCTACTCTAAGATGAACCACCTTTGTTTAATAGTTCCAATCTTGAAAAGACCTGAAGACACTGAAGCTGTGTAGAATCCTATGAAATTAGTCAAGTATGAACATAAGAGTAAATTAGTTGGATGATGATAACGATGTTAATGATAGTCTCAGATATCATCTGTATATTATATTGAAGTGTGTGTGTACGCTTGTTTTGTAAGGTAAGAAATCCATCTAATTGCCCTGCAGTTACTTGTGCATATAATTATCATCCCACAACATTCCTTTCTTCTGTTTAAATAAAGGGAAAAGACAGAAAAGACTCTATTAATTTCTTCTTTCAATGGAGACTGCATGAATAGAAAAAATCCCAAGATTTCTCATCAGGCAGTGAAAAAATGATGGAGTGAATGAAGCAGAAGGCTCTGCCATATTCACACAGAGATCAGGATATTTTCTTAGAGAGTCTTGTACTATAATTCATAAACAATGTGAGGCCTATTATTTCTAGGGAAAAGATTCATTCAGCTGAAAGCTGCTGAAATACAATACTTTGGTTTAACTGATTAGTCAATCTGATGGTTAAAGTGGTATTCAGTGCACAGCCTTCCAACAACTTTCCCAGATTTGCAGGGTAGTTTGGGTAAGCATAGCAATTCATCATGGGCATTTCTGTTAAACAGAGCAAGAGTCGGAAAAATACTGAATTTGAAATGGCTTTAAAAACCCTTCAACCAGTTGACTTACCTGTCATATATTGGACTATGAAAAAAGCTTATTGAGACAAAATGGCTCTTAGGAGATTGAGACTATTCAATTCAGTCTTAGTCAACAACTGAGCATAATGAAATCTCACTTCATTAGAAAGGCCCATAATGTAAGAAATTAAGCTGGTGAGCCAGGAACCAGTAATTCACAGAGAGAACTGTTATATCAACAAAGAGCAATTGCCTCTCAAGACCAAGAGAGCAATCAAGTATCTATCGATTCAGAAAAGCAGAAGCAAAAAGCTTAGAATTTAAATGCTGGAGATAGGCCTATCTATAGGCTTTGACCACAGTGTATTGCAGCGGGCAAATCTTTGTGTATATAGCTTCTTTCTTGTCTGCAATAAAGAAACTATTGAGTGATGTATATGAGTTTTCTACTGAGTAAGCCAGTTCCTGAATAAAGGCTGAGTACCTGGAGAAGTGAGATTTTCAGTTATCTGTGAGAAGCCTAATACATAGGTTAGTAAAGAGTTAGTGCTGTAAATTGTTTATTGTGTGGCAGTATTGGCACAGAATGAAACATGGCTGCAAATGTAGAAATACCCTTTCCAAGATTTGTTGATAGTTCAGCATGCTGTCCATTATTTTATATGCACACCATTAGGGATCAGGAAGCAAAAATGAAAGGAAACTAGAAAGGTTAATAAGATTGGAGATGATAAGGGCATGTCAGAATATTAGACAGGATTCATGGTTTCAAAGCAGCAGAGAGGAAGAACAGATTCCTATTTCAGATTTTGTCTTGCTTTGCTTCTTTAAAGAAAATGATAATCTTTTTTTTAACACATAGCAGGTTTTTGAAGAACAAGGAAGAGAAAAAGAAAGTGTGATAGAGGTGCACTGTCAAAGTACTTACTTTGGGTTTCCAGCGCCTGGCTTCTTTCTCCGGAATATGCTGAGGAAAGTGTTGGACCTACAAGGTGTCTTGCCATCCCCGACATGCATACGCACCACGTCTGAAGTGGTGAAGGCACTGCGGACATTCCTTTCAGGCTTTGCAATGATGATGTACATCTTGGGAGTGAACATGCACCCCAAGGCCACTGTTACACTCAGGCTCACGGCAAAGCAAGTTGTGATGATCTTGTAGTTGCTCCCAAAGTATATAGGTACAAAGGCAAGCCAGATGATGCATGTTGTGTACATAGTGAAGGCAATGTACTTGGCTTCATTGAAATTGGCGGGCACGTTGCGAGTTTTGAAAGCATAGTAAGTGCAACTCATGATAAGGAGTCCGTTGTAGCCCACTGGGGCAACCACACCTAAGTTGCTGGTGTTGCAGATCAGAAAGACTTCCTTGATACTGGGATAGGAAAGGATGGGGAAAGGGGGCTCCATAATGATCAGAGTAATTACCAATGTCAGCTGCACACTGATCAAAATAGAGGCAATAACTACTTGGGCCCAAGCGCTCATGAAGCGTGGTTTGCGGGTACAAATTTTTTTCTTGCTCCCTGCCAGAATGCGTGCAATGCGGTTGGTTTTTGTTACAAGGGCAGAATAGCACATGGCAGAGGAAAGCCCCACCAGGAGACGCTGGAGGTAGCATGAAGTGACAGTGGGCTTAGCAAGGAGGGTGAAAGGGCAGATATAACCAAGGAAGATCCCCGCAAGTATTATGTAGCAGAGCTCCCGGCTAGAGGATTTGACGACAGGGGTATCCCTGTAGAGTGCAAAGATAAGGGTAACAAACATGGTGACGAGGATGCCCAGGCAAGAGAAGGCCACAGCCACAATGGACTCTATGTCACTCCACTGCAGATACTTTACAGGGATAGGTTTGCAGCCTGTAGGATACAAAAAAGAAAAAGAAATGATCGGATATGCAAACAAATCAGCACAACAAAAAGCTCTTTTGGAATCCTTAAAGAGCGGTTGTATAAAAGAAGTGATCCTGCATTCATACCAAAACAAGTGATTTTTACACAAAAGTCAGTAAAGAGTTTCATCCAGTTACATCATTCCACTGGTAGAACAAAATCTGCCAATGGAATGGATTATTCTTCCTCCCACCGGCCCCCTGTGTATTTGCCAAATCTGCTCCACCAGTTTGGACAGAAGAAAGAGGAAGCACAAGAGAAGTCCTACTGCATGAGTGCAAGTCCTATCGTATATCTTTGTTGTAATGTCTTAGTTTACATATAAACGATAAACTCTTCTTAATTTTTCAAGGCAATTTGAAGCAGAGTTTAGTTCTCAAAAGTCTATTTATTTCTAAACTTTATACTTACAACTTCAAAGCCAACGGACATCCCCAGGATAGCATTCAAACCAAATAAATGTTAGTTACAGTTTCTATTTAGTAATACATAGACAGAAATTAATTGTCCTGCAGGATAAAAGCCAACATATTTATTCAGCTTTTGAGACATTTACAGTATACGAGACAGTTCGTTAACAGAGACATCTAATTTTTAAAGTGCTTGGACATTTTGACTATTACTAGACAACATTCCTGACTATTACAAGCAACATTAAGTATGAATATATTTTTTTTCCTTTTAAATAGACATCATGCATTTCTGTCCTTATTCTGCCTGATAGCATTACCAGTATAATTATTTGTGTGCATAGTTTGTAATCTGGACAGCCGGAAATCCATCAGCTTCAGTTTCATTAACTGTCAAGGTAATATCATTTGATTTTTGGTTTACCTAAATGAAACCCTATATCCACTTTCTAAAGATAACAGGGATAAAAGATCTACTAGGTTAAGGGTACATGAGTGGGATACATCATGCCATTTATGCTGATTGCCCAGTTTAGGTGCTAATTTATTTGGTCAACAGTCATGAGTTTGATAGTGTAGGCATGAGTATGTAAAGTATTAAATGTATACTTCTTACATTATAAATGCCTGCTGAGCAGAAGAAAAAGCCAAATGAATTACCAAGGAATATAGGAGTTCGATGGTTTAAGCAGTTATTGCCACCTACAGTTTTACTCCCTCACAATGTTCCAATAATCTCAGTGCTACTCTTTGCAAGCATAATGATACATGTGGTGAAAACTAACTGTAAATTTTAAACTCTCACGAATACACAGCAACTTCGAGTTTTGGAGCATGGCAATGGTATAACCCAGAGATTATGATCTAGCTATCATAAATAATTGCCAGTTGTTCTTTCTTTTTTTAAAGAAAATTAGCAATTCAAATTATTTATAGTGTCCAGGGTGGTATAACTAACAGCAATGTGCACACACATAAAATCCCTAGGAAAGGTATTGCTACAAACATTCCTAGATTCCCACCTTTCCTCCTGGAACTCAAGGTAGCAGGAATAGTAATTCCTGTTCATATTTTTCCCTACAAGAATCTTGTGAAGTTGATTGGGTTGAGAGATAGTGACTAACCCAAAGCCATTCAATGAACTTTCATGGCGGAGGGAATCTGTGCCTCCCCAATTGTACAGTAACTGTAGTCTAGCATTTTAACCACTATGCCATATTGGCTCCTGAACCATAAAGTGAGCCGGCCTGAGCAGCAGGCAGAAAGAACACATACCTCTCTTCTGTGTCATTCTTGGGGTGGGGTGGGGTGGGGAGAGGATTGAATAGCAACTGGAAGCAAGGTAGAACAAATGCAAAACTTTCTCTCTCTTATCCTTTCTCTCCCTAGGAAGTATGGTGTGAATGTAAATGTGATCGATCAGAGGTAGGCATGACTTGGATTTTTAGCAGCTTGGGTATGTGTTGCAAATCCATTGGGTTGTGGAGTGCTCAGTGTTTCATACCATGCCAAACTCTGAGCTGTTTAACCTAACTTCCATTTTCAGCTGTGTTCAGAAATGAATTGGAAGGCCATGGAGTTATTTAAGGACTGGTAAGATATGTTCCTGTAATAGTATGTGGGAATGACCTTGGGAGGCAGAAAGAAGAGCTGTAGCCTAGACAACAGTCTGATAAATGAAATCTGAGACCGAAGGAGGGGTGGGGTTGGAGAAAGCAACTCAGAAGGGACCCTCCCTAGTTTTTGGGAGAGTAAAAGTAAGGAGGAGAAAGGTACTTTCAGACTTGCAAGATTCTGTTGCTGTAACCTTACAATAAAGGTAGTGTTAGTACTCATGGTTTGTTTCTTGTCTGGACTACCTTGAAGAGCTGATAGCTCCTAATTCCCCATGGCTATGATACTTTAAGGAACGTTGCATTATTCCAGAGTCAAATAAAGCTCTCATCCTATCATAGAACCTCATTCCCCTCTGTATTCACTGTAGTAGGATATGATACACAATTTTCATGTGGAAGATGAAATATTACACAAACAGCTTACTGTCGGAAACTAACTACATGTATCATGCTGGCTGTCAATTATTTTAATTTGGAGAAAGAACTTTGTTTTTCATCCAGACTTTTTAGTGTATGTTAGTTTGGAATGATGACTTCTTCTGGCTTTTTGAAGTGTTTCAATGTTATGCTTTTGCTTTTTACTATATAATTTTAACTGACGCAATTAGTTTTTACCTTGGTTATAAATTGCCTTAGTAGCAATCCGTGTTGGATTACTGCAAAATGCTTCCCATGATGCTTTCTTTGAAAATTTTGGAAAACTTAAACTGAACTTGAATGCAGAAGCCTATATTCATATTATTCCTATTCTGCAACAGTTGCATAGATTGCCAATTTACTTTTGAATTTTAGCTATGATGCACAAAATAAGGGAATGTCTCTTCCAATATGGTAGATTCCCTCTTCTAACTCTCTAATTCTGGATGATCTGAGGCTCACAGGAAAACAGGCAAAGTTCAGGCAGAGGGAGGACTCATGTGAAGAGGCCCAGAGGCACAACTAGCAGAGGACTTCTAATGAATAGGAAATAAAAACGATGAGAACCTGCTAGCTGATGTTCTCCTTTTGTAGAACAATAGACGGATGTTTGGAAGCGCTATATACTGTAGGCTGTATCCTGTAGTTAACCCTAACCTCTCTGAGGAACAACTAACTATTATAGTAATCTGAGTTAATATATATAACAGTCAATTCTATCTTGCCAAACTCTGTTTTCTTCATTACATAGTTGGGAATCAATGGACCAAACTTCTGTTGCCCATCCTACAATTGTAGAAATTGTATTCCCTACCTTTGGGAGAATGTAGCTCTTGGAACAAAGAAAATATAGAGCTAGGCTTTTGAAAGGGATGACAATAAAGATCTCAGTGCAGTACAATCATCCAAATTTTCATCTTGGTACCATCACTATAAAAAACATAGAAGCCTCTCCCAGGACCTGGTTAATATTACCAGTGCCTTACTGAGAGGGGCTTTTATATTCTTTCACCTGCAAACCATGCCCTCGGCATATCTTGAAGGGAGATTTTGCAGGTGCCCTGTTGAACAATGTCTCTGTCCTTGTGGTGTTGGTCAGGTGGAGGACATTATTCATTAAGTCCTCCACTGGCTCATTGACAATGAAATTAGGGCCAAATTATTGATGGTAGGTGAACTCAAGGGCTTATATTGCAGTTTTCCATTTTTATAAATGGTGGGAAGATGGTAGTTCAACTGGGATCAGAGGACAATAGCAAGGCAGGCTAGGAAGGTCCAAACAGAGATTTGACCTACTTTCCCATGAGCCTCTTGTAAGAGTTCTGCCACTTGACAAAAAGACCTAAAGTAAATATGGAATTGCCTACAGATGGCAGAGCAGAGTCAGGAAACATGCAACAGGAGGAATGTGCCCCCCCTGTAATAGTATGTGGGAATGACCTTGAGGGATGAGGGGAAGAGATGCTGCCTAGGAAACAATCAGAAAAAAGGGGGAGGAGCCTGCAGCTGAATAAAGGGCAAAGAAAGAAACTTAAAAAGGATCTGCCCTAACAGGCTGTTGAAAGTGACAGTGGGAGATTTGTATTTTCAGACTTGCAAGATTCTGTTAATGTAACTTTACAATAAAGTAGAATTAGCTCATCTGGTCATGTGTCTTGTCTGGTTTCTCTGGGAGGGCTGACACCCCCTTCTCTCCCCTCATGGGATCACAGTTACCCAGAGGAAAATGCCTGAAGGGTATATTCCCATATAGAAGTGTGCATATACAGGTAGTTCTCATTTAACAACCACAATTGGGACTGGCAACTCAGTTGTTAAGTGAAATGGTTGCTAAGTGAAACCACAACTGTGCTTATGATTTTACTTCAGCTTTCCTTTGCTTTATAGACCTGCAAACATCATAAATGGGAAGATTGGTTGCAAAGTTACTTCTTCATCACCATCGTAACTGTGAATAGTTGCTAAAGAAGGCAGTCGCTAAATGAGGACTACCTGTATGGACACTGATTTTTGTTATATGTGTAACCAGACACATACTTTTGTGACTGTCCAGGCATTCTGCAGTGTATCCATAGCCCACCTTGCTTTGAAATTGTATTTAATAAGGAAAATGGAGGATAAAAGTTTAATAAGTAACCAAGTAAAATAAACATTCTTATTTTGGGGTACCTTGAGTAGTGAGAGACAGTTATTGTAAAGGGTTGCTCATACCTGTCAGCTCATCATTAGGCCACCATCCTAGTTCACAGGCTTTGCATGTGAACTCATCTTGCACAAATTCATTCTCCTTGCAAGCCGTACAAATCCAGCAGCAACTCACTTCTCCCTTCCTTATAACCTACAATAAAATTAGAATTTTTTTTAGGTGGAAACCTTTTAATATGTCATCTGAATGTGTTATCGCTCTGGCAATATAGTGTATGACATTATGAATACAGTCCCAGAAAGTTATAACAATGGGTAAATTTTAAAACTTGTATTCATGACTCAACTTATCTGGGCTACAATAGATCTTTTGCAAGTAAACACTGCTTCAGGCTTTGAAGGAACTGTAGCTCAGTGGCAGATCCCCAGGCTTTCATTCTAATGGTCCCAGGCCTACCTACCTGGCATCACCAGAAAAAAGAGCCAGAGGAAACCCCCGTCCTAAAACCATTGACAGCCACGTTTGTCCATAACACTCACCCCTAATAAGTGCACTCATATATTACATAGTCAGAAACAAGCAATGTTAATAACTTAACACCATATGCAAATCCAGTCCATGGAAAGATTGAATTAAAGAGACTAATTGTCTGTTGCAATATATAGGGCTGTTTTGTAAGTCCAGTGCCGCTGGAAAGTAAAAGAATTGATAAAACCCCCCAAAGTCTATCTTGAATTAAACATTATTGCATACTACCTGGGTATTAAGTAGTTTCTAAAAATATGAAAAAGATTTTGCACTTGAATCCTCATTAGAGTCCATCTATTGGGGTAAAGAAGCTCTAGCTGAGACCTGACCAACACCTTTATCTGAAGCAAGGTCAGTATCTTCAGTTGCAGCCTGTTTACTTGTCCCCTCCTCTCAAATAATAAATTCAAGAGGAAACAGTAAGATTTTGATTGAGGGACACAAGTCAGGTGGGTTTATTTTGGTCTCCACTGCAAAGATTAGAATCTGTATTGTTTTTCTCACAGAACTAAAAAGGATAATCCAATGTTATACGGAAGAACAAATGAAGTGTTACTAACAGATATTTCACTCTGGGGGGGGCAATCTCTCCCCCCCCCCCATTCTGTAATACTGCAGTTTTTTTATCAGCCATCCTCTGCCACCTAAGTGGAACAGTTGTTCTGACAGGCTAACTTTCTACACATTCTTTGATTCTCTTGACTTTTTTTTTTCTTCATGCCACATAAGCATGGTGGGTGGCAAATTGCTTTTAGCTAGATAGAAATGGAGTCAGCAGGTAGAGATTTTGTTTGCAAAGAAATTTTGTTTGCAGCTCAAAGCTGCCTGTGATGTGGGAACACAGAGGAAATGTAGTATGTAGTGTATGTTTCAGTCTCCATGTAGGGGGATTTTAGTTATATAACATAATTAGCTACCGTGTTCAGTAAATTTTATATTATAGATACATGATATGGCCTGTTTATTCAGCAAAGCCTGTGGAAAGTCTGTTTAATAAAGCAGAAGATTCTGGCTATATTCCTTTATTCAAAAACAGAGAGACAACCATTTGTTAGAAGATGAAAGAGAGAATGTTTGTGAAACAAAAAAGGATTGCAGAAGTGGGATGTGATAGGAGATATAGTGAAATTGGATGACAGTGTATTTTAAGGAGAATATCTCATTTCCAAACCAATCTGTAACTATGACTAAACCAGGTTTGGTAAAAGAGTAATTGTAGCAGCACCACTGTCCCTAGTAATGCCATCAAGACAAGACTGGAAGTGAAAAATCAGGACCTGCTCAACAGAATGAGCACAAAGGTCCCAACTAACACTTTTTCAAGTAAATAAAGAAATTCACATTTACCATTCGATAAAGACACCCCTTCCATCCCCTGCCACTCCCCCCACCCCCAACAAGACTATCAGATCAGCAGGAGAAACTTTTCAAGCCAGGGATATAAATATTATCACCAAGAAATCTAGGTGCTATTAAAAATGCAGAAATAGATGGTAGCCCAAAATGTAGCTATGAGACAAAAATATTTCATCTGGTAGTGTCCTTAGGGGAGATAACCCTGCTGAATAAAAACATGACAAAATTAGTGTTTGAAAACATCCTGAAGGAAAGACTCGTGCAATTGGTCCAAGAGCTCTGAGACTAAACGTCCCTGTTGGTGACGTGATGTGATTTAAACAGAAAAAGAACAGCTAAGCCAGCGTTTCTCAACCTTGGCAACTTTAAGATGAGTGGACCTCAACTCCCAGAATTCCCCAGCCAGCCATGCTTAAACCAATGTGTCTTTTCCCAGGATCAAGTGTCCGCCATGGAGGGCCAAGGCAGGAGCCGAGAAAAAGATGCAGCTGATTTAAGGTATTCCTGGCAGTGCTATGAGGGCACCAGTGTACGTTCTAAATCACATTTTTCCTTTCAAATTTGCATCTCTGAACTACTGTATTATCTTTATTGAAAAAAAAAGAATGCTTTTAAACCTCACAAATTTGAAGGATACTTCAAATGGATTCACAGCTATTGCAATTGTGGGGTGGGGCTCTCCAAAGCATTGTTATATCTTCCAAACTACAGATTTCTTTCCAAGTATCTGGTTATAAAATCCAAAACTGTTTGGATCAAGTAAAACATCTACGTTTTGCTTCTGTTCTGACACAAAGAAAACTAATTTTCTTTACTAGTTACTTTACAGATTAAAACTTTAATAATAATTCCTAAAATATTCTAAATGTTGTTATGCCATTCTTTTAACATTCAATGGTATCAAAGTACTGTTTGCATAATTAACATTTCCACTTGTTGTAGTCAAAATAATCTGTTCACCCATTACCAACCAAACATAAGTCCCTATTTTTTGCTCAAGGCCAGTCAAACTCTACATTTTACCTTCCTGCTCTGAGCTGTCTCTTCCTCATCAATGAAGCATATAATTTTTTAGATCTGAGAGACACTTAAAAAGAATCAATTGGCACCCTTGTTTTAAATTAAAATCCACCTGCTCCAAGCCTTTCAGGTGGAATAACTTCAATTTAACAAGTGAAAAAAATCTATTTTCTTTTCTTACTCTGTTCTGTCTTGTAAGCTGCTTTAAATGGAGTTAGGTCATTCATCTATCTATCTAACTCAGTATTTCTAAATCTTTTCTGGAGATGCCCTGAACAGCTGCTGAACATGAGATATTGAGTCATAATTCGCTACCAATCTCTCTCCCAAAAGGTGGACTATGTGATTTTTGGTAGAGGAAATTTGCAATACAAACGTGCTTACTTTGCACATTTTATTCTGAGCACAGAATTGGTTTTCTTAAGGAAGCTTGCTTTAATTAAGAATTTTCCCTTAATCTAACACAATTGTACACAGATTAATAAAGGTTAAGTATTCATGTCACCTAATCTTTCATGATTAGATCTATTTTTTCAACAAAAGTACCTTCATAGGAGCAATTACCTTAATTTGACCTTTCAAACAGGGATCACTACACACAGACCGAACCATTTCACTTTTGTTCATTTGAATTCGATTATCATCAATATTCAAGACTCCTTCATGCCAGGTCCCAATGTGGACATAATCATAGTGGTTAGATTCTATGTGTTGCAGGTTCATGATGTCATATCTAGAGAACAGAAAGAAAAATGTCTAATTAAAAAACTGCCCAAAGCATTAACATCTTCTCTTCTCCCCCTCAGTCAAAAATATAAGTCCTTTCCTGCCAATACACAATTTAACTTCATCCATTCTTCCAATAGAAAATATCTGTAAATCAGGGTTGAACTGTGGAGTTCTTGGTGCTCTCTGAGCTTGCAGACATTTCATTACCCAACTAGGTAACATTCATCCATCCTTCTTTAGAACCTAAAGAAAAATGTTCTGGCCACCACGTCCCTTCAGTCTACTCTAGTCAGTTTAGGGAAATGAAGTCATTGGGCTGGGCCAGACAGAGCATAAAGGGAAACTCATCTATATGAAGCCACTGAGGGAGATCATCCAGCATGTTATCAATATGTTTATGATACCCAACTGTACATCATGGCCCTGGGACAGAGCTGCTGTCCATGTTTTGCCCCAATGCCTGAAAGAGGTGAGGGTCTGGATGGAAGAGAGAGGGTTTAAACTGAATCCTAGCAAGGCTGAGCTACTGTATATCAGGGTTCTTTTACATCTCCCGAAGGAGCAGGTCTGTGACTTGGAGACCCTCCTGGAATTGCAGCTCCTGAAGAATCAGTAGGTGGAGACTATGACTGGGTAGAAGGGTGTCTTTGCCCAGCTTTATGGCCTTATGTGAGATGGGCTGACCTGGCTACAGTGACTCATGCCCTCATCACCAAATAATTAGATCACTGTAAAGCATTGTAGGTGGGGCTGCCTGTAAAGACCACCCAGAAGCTCCGGTTGCTGCAAAATGGAGTGGATTTAATCATGCCAGGAGAGGCAGCTGGTTGTTCCTCATGTTCAGGAGAACAGGAGGGCCAAAGCCTGGAGATGCTGTTTTCTGGTGATGGGGCAGGCCTTCTGGAATGGCCTCTCATTGAAGGTTCATTGGTCTCCAATGTTATCTGCTCTCTGGAAAAAGTTGAAGACAGAACTTTTCTAGAGAGCTTTTGAGACCTGATGCCATGTATTGTTTGGGGTTTTTAAATTGTATTTATGTTCTTATGTACTATTATTGTGTTTGCTTATTTTTGTGAGCTGCCAAAAGTCTTACAATTGCAATAGGATATATGAACTCCCACATTTCCTGGGACAGTTGCCTATTGCTTTATTAATATCTTGAAAACATGAAGTAGAGAGTAAGGAAAATGACCTTGAGATCTGTTACTAATGTGTTTGGGGGAAAATGTATCTTAAGTCCACAGCAAACAGCAAATATGCAGAAGAGATTCAGCCACCTCCTAATTCACATGAGTATAAGAAGGGGCAGAGATACAGCACAATTAGCCTTGCAAGGTTCTGTTATTATAACCAATTTCAATAAAAATAGTTTTAGCCTTCCTGTGGAGTTGATTCTAGTCAAATTTACCTGGTAGGACTTACCCATAATAATTGTTGGCTTGTATGTAATGATTTATTCCCTTTATTAGTGCTGAAATGAGAATCCTATTCTATACCAGAGATAGTCTTCTGGATTTTGAGAGCACATTTAACTTTTGTGGAATTACTGAGAATGCATACTGAGAAATGTGCTAATTCACTCCTCTCAAGGCAATCAAAGATTTCTTGTTAGAAAATGCCAAGTGAAAAGCAAGTGAAAAAATGCTTTATGAGAAATAATTAACAATCTGGAGATGTGAATAAATAAAACATGGTGATGTATTAACAACAGTAAAAAATGCAAAGTAAGTACATGTTGTCTTCTGGGTAACTTATATAAATTATACAGACCAATTGATTTCTGTAAGCAAGAAAATAATAGTGAGGCAAAACCTCTGTCACTCATGGTTAAATAGATATTTAAATAGCAATGAACTATAATTTTAAAGATTCCAATTCAGATTTTTCTCCCCAAAGTTGTTCAATGGTTTATAGCTCAAATTCAAAAGTGTGCTTAATATTGTATTAATCAGTTAATGACACTGGTAAATATTCAAAAATATAAAAATACCATACACTTGATTAATGACCTGTTTAGAGATGTCAGTAAGATAGGAGTATAAGTTGTTGTATACTTGTAAAAAATGCCTGATTTGCAATGATACTCATTTTAATAAAACACTTTTGGGGACTCCTCTTCAAAGTAGCCCCTTGCTTTTGAAAACCCTGGGGCTAACTAGAGGATTTTGATCCCTTAAGGGACCCTTGCTCCCTTGAGATCCTCTGATTCTGAAAAGGAAGTTGAGCCTTTCTATATTCCTAGACAGTGCTGACATCAAATGGTGCCATTTCAGTACAAAAATGTAGATGATTAATTAATAAGGGCCTCCTCATGAGTAAGAATTCTGCAAAACCCAAACTTCTACTCATTGATTATGGAGTTTTCTAACCATGATCTATTGAACAAAAGCCATTCTCACCTAATCTGCACATCACAGAATATAACTCTGGTTTACAAATGTAATGCCAAGATTTTCACATCACACTCCAAAAAATCTAAACAAACCCAGCTTCTGCTTCCAACTGAGTTGGGACTCCAAGAGCTCCAGCTTTAGAATCTTCAGTTCCAGAATGCTAGTTGCTGTCACAGGCTCTCTTTCCCAACTCTGTTTTCATTGGCCTTGTTCAACCAGGCATTTATTAATCTGTGGGACTCCTGAGGGAGAGACTGTGAACTTTGTTTTTGGCAAGGAACTGCTGCTTCATCCTAAATAGGTCAAATTATATTGAATTTCCTAGGAAAGGTAGTTTAGAACTGTACATCTAATTTATAGGAAAACTAGGTAATTATAATATGAGATAATATTGGCAGGAAAGCTGCATTTAAAAGGGCCTTCATATTATGGCTGATCCAGGAACCATGATGGTTTACAAACAAGCCATGGATTCATCAGTTTTGTCGTTATCATCATCTTCTTCATCATCATCATCATCATCATCATCATCATCATCATCATCATCATCATCTAGATATTCTTGTTTCCAGCTGCTTACAGTAATACAAGAACTGAATAAAAGACTTCCAGTGGAGTTCAAAATGGATTAGGAGTGAGGAAGCACATCTACTCCCACAGCTAAAACTTTGTTGGTCCATTCATCCTTTAATCTTTTCATCTGCATCTGTCTGCTCAGTTTTCATATGACTGGAGCAGATGTTATTCCTTTTTGCCACTGACATGTAGGAGAAGTCCATTCTTTGTTTTAATCTTTGAGGGTCTTGCCTTCTGGAAACAGAAAATTAATCCATCCAACTTGAACTGCCCCCAACCTGTCTCTGTTAAACTGACGGAAGCCGCAACAGTATTCTCCCTGCCTTAAGCAGGTTTCTTACAATGCACACTGAGAATACTGAGGCTAAATAAATAAAAAATATAACTAGATAAACAAACAAACGTCCAAACAGCACCCATAACTGGGGCATGACTTTAACAAATTATGTTCCAAAAGGAAAGGACCACAAAGGAGCTTGAGGGGGCCAAACAGCCCTCTTGTCTTTCGGCTCCCACTGCCCTGGATGTGTTGACACTCCCAAGAGCAACCTCGCTGGCCTCCCTGCTTTTGCAGGTTGTCAGAAAGTGCTCCCTGCTCATAGCCCTGCCTCGCAAAAGGCTTTTGGAGCTCACTTGCTCTTCTGCTGCTTATCAGAGAGAACGAGACCTATGCAAAAGGAAGGAGTGACAAGATGTTGAAGCTAATCGAGTAGAGTAGAAAAAAGGAGGAGGAATCACCAGCAAGTCTAGACAGACAAGCAGGCAAATGAGAGATAGAGATGGGGGAAAAAAATGTTGTGGGTGGCAGACAGAGAAGTGTTTTGATTGAAATTCAGAATGAGGAGAAAACTGCAACCAGAAGCTGTGATTTTTATTTTCTATTTTTCGGGTCTAGAAATTGTGAGAGTAGAGGGACAGATCTGGGCTGCAGCACTCCAGATGGCAGCAAAGAGAAAAGAAAAAGCCTACTTTTTGGCTGCCATCTACTGGTTATCTGGATTTTAGCAGTCCAAATCCACTTTAGGTAGTCCTTGCTTACTGACTGCTTTGTGCAGCGACTGTTTGAAGTTACGACAGTGAAAAAAACCCACTTTGTGACCAATCCTCACATTTATGGTCGTTGCAGCATCCTGCAGTCATGTGATCGCCATTCGCGCACTTCGCAACTGGCTTGGGACAAGCAGAGTTAATGGAGAAGGCGGAAATCAAACTGTAAGTCACAGTCACGTGATTTTTCGCTTAGCAACCATGCCGCTTCACTTAATGATTGAAAGGGAAGTGAGGTCATAACCCTGTCATGGTCATGTGATTTTCTGCTTAGCAACCATGGCACTTAGTGACTGAGTTGCTGGTCCCAATTGTGGTCGCTAAGTGAGGACTACCTGTAGTCTATGTGGAAGGCATGTTTTCTGCAAAAGTCATGCTTTCTTCTGGGCAGCTGCTTTGCCTATCAGCTTGAGGGATATAGACCAAGGAGAGGGTTTTTTTCCTTTGACACCATGATAAAGTGAGACTAAGAAAAGCCAGGCAGGTAGCTGAGCCTCCAACAGTATTGAGGAAGAACAGGTAAAATTCTGTGAAACTAATTTTGAAAAGCAAAACAGTACCTTAGCAAAGAAACTCTTGTTTAATACATTTACAAAGCAATTATAAATATTTTAAGGTGCAGTTTAACTCAATTTTTCCAACTACAATAGTTACAGTATATATTCTTGTGCTACTGATTGTGAGAAATTGTACCTTGAAGGCAAACAGAGAAAAAACAAGTCCCCTCCAACAGCCCCTCCCCCCAAAGGCACTAGGTCAAACGTGCCAAAAATGTAAACAAACGTTTAATCATTGGAACAGTCTTTGAAAATATTTTGATACTTGTCAATAAGTTGATTGTTGTTCCTTTCTGTTGCTTACCAACTGCTCCTATTTTTTTTTTAATGTATTGTGCAAACCATAAGTAGTTATCAAAAAAGCATCTTGGAAGAAAGCCATGGCAAAGTCTTCTGCACTGTTGCCAGAAAAACAAGCTGGACATGGACATGAAGTCACCAGTAGTCAAGTTCAGCTCAAGGAGACTTCATCTTTAGGGCCATGCAAATCATTTAATGATGTGCTTCCCTCATGAACATAGTGCTTCTCTGGATCTGTTCCATGTAATAGCCCCTCAAAGGTTCCAGTAGCTTGCATACCTGAGCGTTACAACCCTATTTCTAACCAGTTTCCAGTGGATTATTAATGACAACCAACATTTTGCAGAACTATGTGAAGATCTGAATCAGAGATTTTTTTTAATTCAAAGATGATTTGATTGCATTATCCCTCAAATTGAATTTTTCATCAGGTTTCCAAATTAATTTAATGCATCAAATTAAACCATTGCTTCCCAACTCAGATAATTTGAATTGAATCAAGCATTTGAATTGAATCAGTTCAATCCTCTTCAACATAGCAAATCAACTTAATTTGTGGAAGCAAATCAATATTTGAATCAAATTCATGCAACTCATAAAGTCAATGATTCAAATCAGATCACAGATGATTCATATACACCTAATACCTTCATATCTTGTTCAGGGACAAATATAATAGGTTGCATAGTTCTGAGCTGCACATATTTCTTTTCACATCCAAGACAACTGATTTTTGCTGATTTCTCATCTTTAATGGATTTCTCTGTGCCATATCCCTATCTGTTCTGAAGGAACTCATCACCATAAGGTAGGATGTGAAAGAGACTGAATGGATAAGAGGGATTGGAAAAATCAGCAGTCTTGATTATTCATTTGTTTACAACTATTTCCTCATCCAATCAGACCCTGGATGGGAAAGAACAAAATGAAATCTATCTATCTATCTATCTATCTATCTATCTATCTATCTATCTATCTATCT